CTTGAATCGCCTCTTCGAGGGTGCTTGCCTGCACCCGGAACAGCTGAGTGCGTGCGGGGCCCACTCGAAGGCCGTCCATGAACACAGTCATCTTGATGTGCTCATTGAGTGGGTTTCCCACTAGGGACGCCGTGAGCTCCCGTATCTCTTGCACATACTCGTGCAGTTCGCGCCTTCCTTGTTTACACGCGAGGAAGCGCGAACGCTGGCGGTACTCGTAGTTCGCCGGGAGGAACGCGGCTCGGAGCTGTTCGCACAGCTGAGCCCAGGATGTGAAACATCCAGGGGATGTTGCTTCCCGAGTGTACACCCAACTCTTAGCACGACCGCTAAGGTTGGAGAGTGCAAAAGCAACACGCAGTTGCTCGGTCGAGATCAGAGCCGCTTCCATCGCGAGCTCTACTTCTCGGACCCAGAAGTGAAGGTTCTCGCCTTCCTTCCCTTCATACGGCCTTACCTTCAGCCGTATTGGCTTCGGGTGAGGCGGATTTACTTCCGCCGCCGGAGCCTGCAGGTTCTCCCGCACATGCGCGATGAGGCCCTGCTCGTACGCGTCGAATGCATTGACGCGCTCGAGCTGCTCAGCCGGTGTTGACACCATCAGGCTCTGCAGGGCCTCCATCCCGAAGATGCCTTCCATCTTCCGAACCGACTCGAACTGAGAGTCGTTCAAATGGGAGAGGTCGTTCCTATCCATGGCAACGAACTTCGGAGGTTCAGGTAGTCTACCCGCGATGGCGTGGATTGACTACAAGTGCTACCAAGTGTGACGGGGTCACACAGCATCTTGCGCAAGAGGAAGTTATCTTCCAAGAGTATACAAACTCTCAGTGAACGGCAGTTCACAGGTCCCCTCTTTTATTAAAGAGAGCGAAGTGACCTAAATAAGGTAGATTGTAAACTGAGTATATTTATAGGTAGGATAAGTTCGGGTTTAATACAAACTATTAGTTACCTATAGAAATGCAATGTCATTTAACCAATGGTTGGCTTTGAGCGACTTTGGTACCTTGTACCAAATATCCCGGAGTATGACGTGTCATACTCCTGAAGTGTGAAGTGTCACACTTCATGTAACCAGGGTACACTGAGGGCTACGTACCCCGTTACATTAAGGGTATATTCAGAGTTCTTGATAAATTTACTTCAGTATCGCCTTCGCAGAGATACTGAAGTGAATACCAGTGTAAACGGTATGAATATGATTATTTCTCAAATATTAGTATTAGTATTTAAAGTATTTTTTCCCAACTGTGTATAAAAACATGTTTAAACATACAGTATTCTGGTACAGAATACTGTTCGCCACCGATTTTAAATAATACTTCGTTTTATTAAAATATATACTTACGGGATTGTTTCAGGACAGCCATGCTACTGTAGCACAACAGTCCTTATTAATAGTCGCCACGATTCTCAAGCCGGTGCCGTCACCTTACGTTAGGGCCCAGTCTTTCGGCTTTAACACAAGATCATTAATAGAATCGAGCTACAGTAGGTACGAAATCCTCAACAGCAAAAATTAATCCTGTTATCTCATGCCAGTATGCCTCGAAGTTCAGAGCCTGAAAATTCAGCCTGGGAGCGAACATGCAGGTTGGCTGACAGACCCATTTCACCAAAACCCAAAAAAGCGCTGGGTGTAACTTTTAAGGAAAAAAAAACAGTGAATGCTACGAAAATATCGCTTTTAGTAAAGGGCTGCGGCGCATGCCTCTTAAGGGAGTTAAAATCCTGGTGTGGTGCCGATGGAAACTCCGGCTGGATTTATATCGGATTGTCCGGCTGAATTAAAAGAATACTTCCCAGCACACAGTCTTTTTTTGCTGCATCAGCTATCCCTTGAAGGAGGGTCCTTCTCTTCTTTCGGGTGAACTGAATGAAGTGTGAATGCTCGGGTTTGAGCAACTAGCTTGGAGTATTCCACTGAAGCTATCAAATTTTGTGGCATATTGCGGCGGACACGTATATGTAACATCGAGGACTTGCGAAAGGCAAGTTGCCTCTTGGGTCAAGAGTCTGACTTTTGACGCGACCAGTTTCTCACGAGGTTCGTCCAGTCGCGACCCTTTGTCACAACGACATGCATTGAAGATGAAGTGATGACGGGAACCGCAATTGACTGTGATTACCGAATTATCGTTGTCCTAGGGGACGTTTACTCCTAAGGGTTACCAACGAACCAACCAATCGGATCCTTCGATTGTAATACAGATGGCTCCATTACTTACGATAAGGTTCATTCTAATTTTACTTCGGCGGAAGCTAAAAGAATGGAGCCCAACACCACAAAGAAAACGGCAGGCCGTCGAAAAGTATGGTTCGCCCTCGCATCAATGGACCAGGAAAGAAGCGGAAGACCTATCAACGTAGGGCAGTAGAGTATGCGCATAAGAGAGACGTCCTCGACTACATTGACAGCGGTCACAGCCTTGACGAGACAATTTCACAGTTCTACGGCGACTTAAGTGGCTCCGACATTCGTGCTAAGAAAAAACAAATTCACAAGTGGAGCAAGCAGGCTCCAACTATACGTGCTGCATGTGATTCTGGGCGGGGGTGCCACCGAAATCTGCGCGGACTTGGTGAAGCGACTGTGCTCACCAAGGAGGCTGAACGCGCTATCGTAGTGTGGGTGAATTCGCTGCGGAAAGATGGTGCCCCTGTCTCCCGTCTCATGCTTCAACTGCAGGCAAAAGAAGCAGCTGCAGACATTGGCCTTGAAGGCAAATTTGCAGCCACATCAACATGGGTTAAGCTATTTCTTCGTCGCCATAAATTAGCGCTCCGTGCACGTACCATGCAGGGACAGACGACGCCACAGGATGCTCAAGATGCAGCTACGACATTTCGAGCGCTGGTGCTGCAGACAATCGTCGAAAAGAAGTGTGTACAAGTATACAATGCTGATCAGACGGGTAATATTTTTTATTTTAGTTGTAAAATATTTTTAATGACTTTTCTTCTTGTAGGTGTGAATTTTGAGTATTTACCAAAACAAACCATATCTCAACGTGGAGTGAAAACTGTTTGGGTAACATGTACAAATAAAGAGAAGGCTCGAGCTACAGCTATGCTTTTGGCGGACTGGGAAGGCACAAAATTGGCTCCATTCATAGTGTTCAAGTGTCAACCGTCAAAAATTAAGGAAAAAAGGGAAGAGAACCACACTCTGCGCCATGGGTTTAGCCCGACTATGTGGACCCGTAAAATTAATCCACTTCAAGAGCGCTACAATTGTCAAATTTACCGGGAACCAGTGCGCATGGTGGAATTCTGATTTGTCTCTGAGTTTTCTCAAATATCACTTTGCTGAGCGCACGAACCGAGATGACCACATTTTACTCATATGGGACGATTTCAGCGGGCATTGGACCCCTGAAGTTGAAGAATATGCAGCGTCTATTAACGTTATCCTACTTAAAGTACCGCCGCGTTACACGTACGTATGCCAACCGGCAGATATTTCGTGGAATAACCCCCTAAAAACTAGGTTGCGAGGTCTGTGGATCAACCGGCTGAGAGACCAACTTGTTGCGTATCGAGCCAAGGAGAAGCAGCGCCAGGAGAAAAGAAACAAACTCCAGAGAGATATTATTCGTGTGCGCAAGGATCTAGTGCAAGAGGAAGCAGAGTCTGAAGTTGAGCGACTTCGGAAACATTATACAGAAAAGCCCTTTTAAATTGGAGCCCCCAAAAAGAGAAGACATTACGGAGTGGATATCAAAATGCTGAAACGAGCTTTCAGAAAAGACAATTGTTAGTGGATTTGCAAAAGTAGGCATATTGGCTGATACTCGCCGTGCTGAGCAAGATTTTGACTCATATCCGGGACATATTGATAGCGAGCTTGTCCAAGAGCTGGAAAAATGCAATTTAACTGATGGTCATGTCGACTCTGACGCAGGTATAGAGTCTGAAGCTGGTACCGGTAGTGATAGCGGTAGCGAATGCTAAATACAGTAATTTGCAGTGAATGCTTCGGTAAAACTATGATTTGCATTCATATGTCGGTGCTCACGATTTGCATCCTTTGCTATTGAAGTGACGCCTAGGACTACGATAATTCGGTATATTAGTGGAGACCGTCAACTTTACCCCTGAATAGAAACAAAAGAACTCGAACGAGATTATTCTCTATGCTTCCGGTCATCCATTGTTCAGCTCAGCCGGATACCTTTAGTTCATCATGGACAACGAGTGAATTACTCTAGCTTTGATCTGCTGTCGCTGCTGGACACTCACCTAAATTCGAACAGCAGGAAAGGCATTTGCAAGTGCGGGCTCCATGTGGTGCAAGCAGCCCACACTCGACATGCCACAGTGAAAGAACTGTAACGTTGCTCCGGCTGTCTCGAATAGATAAAATGACACCTTGTCCTGACCAGCCTGCTTGAAAAAGTAAAATAACCTTCGATCGAAAAGGCTTCTGCTTGTATTATACATGAACAGTACCATTGTGATCGTATCGACCATCTGACCGAGGTTTGAACACAGCTGTCATCGACTCAGATTGGATAGGCATGCGTGCGGGACAGCAATGTTCACCTCGACCCAGCGTCCAGGAAACCAAACTTTAAGGCAAACCTGCTGGCAACACAGTGGCAAGACCGTCTTGTCAATGCAAATCTGCGCTCCCACTCCGACCCGAGGCCGCGGGATCGGAATGAAGTTGGCGACATGTTTCTGGCGCTCGCGTAGGCGCGAGCGGATACCGTCGATGTCAGCGGCGTGCCGACCGTTGTCACAAGCGCCAGCAAGGTGTCACTGCGCCGCGAATTCTTGAGCTCACTTTGCCAAGCTCACGGCGACTGCGAGCACAGAGAGCACTCAACGCAAGCTGCGCAAGTGCATTCAACTGTCGATTCAGGACACCAGCTGGGGTGAGGAGGTTGGTTAACTTACCAGCTGTCCCTGTCTGCTGCTCCTGCGCTCTCAAGCTGCCTCTCCTCTCCCTTCTTATCTCACCGTCGTGCTCACCCGTGTCAGTTCACGTTTGACTCGCCGAGGAATTTACTTGCCCGGGCGTTAAGCGGATTCATTAACCTTCCCGATTAGCGAAGACTTTGACGATTAGTGAGATCCGTTTGACCGACACCATGCATCTTCGGTTCCCCTTACCGGCGGGCTACTTCGCCAGGTTCGACTTGCTACCGAACGAGGTGCAGAACTATCGGTCTCTAGCCAGCGACATCGTCCGTGAGACGAAGAGAGATCTGGACCACTACATCAAGGACGGACGCAACCTCATCGACGCACACACGTGGAAACTCGCCAAGTCAAAGGAGCGACTGCACTGCTACCGGAAGCGCAGTACCCAACATTCCGCGCACCAGCTTGGACTGTACGGCACCGCGGGTACAGACGGAAGTGGCACTGACTCGATGGGCACATACTCGGCACGGTCCCGACCGTCGATGAGCGTCACGAGCTCTCATAGTCGATCGGGATACGAAGACGGGGGCTCGTTGTCAGTGTCAACCCGCTCTTCTGACGATGGTGAACCGAGTCGCAAGAGCATTCAACCGGCAGTAATAGGCTACGGTATTGTGGACGGCACCGTGGACGACCTGGTGTACGGTCTGTACCAGTCCTCGACCAACGAGATGAAGACCTTGTCGGCGTTTCTGGGCGATGACTCGCTCATCGACTGTGCAGCGCTGAAAACTATCCGTCAGACGCGCTCATCGTATCTGGGACTCAAGTGGAAACTGTCCCGTACGGTCGGGGGTAACCGCGACTGCTGTTACATGGAATATGTCGGCGTATCTGAAGACGCCAACGGCCAGCGCTTCGGCTACCACGTACTGGAGTCTGTGGTAGTCCGCAACTGTCCTCAGTTCGACGACAACTCGATCGTACGCACCAATTTGTCCTTCTGCTACATCTTCCGCCCAGGTAAGCTGGCTGACCAGGTCGAAGTGTTCATGGAGGGCGCATACGATTCATCGGCCGACGTGCTCACTGCTGGTGGTGTCGGAGACTACCGTACCGCGATGGATATGCTCTTCAACCTCCCGTCAGCTATGGTAGGAGCGGAAGCGAAGAAGATCTCGGCTATGGTAGCAAAACAGTCTGATGCGCTGCGTGGCGCGAGTAGCAAGAACCAGAGCGGCAATCACTGCTCCATTTGCCGCGCCAAGTCCGGTTTGCTCTCTTCACACACGAACTGCCAGACTTGTGGCGCTGTTATCTGTAGCAAATGCCGCATCCGGAAGGTGACATTCTCTCGTCGAGGCAAGATCAAAGTCTCGTGTTGCAAAATGTGTTTGGTTATGGTCAAGGACCAGTCACCATTCGCTGGGGAACAGCTCGAGCAACAGCCAGCAAAGCCCAGGAAACCGCGTGAGGACAGTCGCAATAGAAACGATAGCACCAGCAGCAACACCAGACTCGACCTGATCAACGCGTCAGTCTCGACCATGTCGCTCACGGACTCGGAGTTCTCTGCCTCGTACCAGTCGTGGCAGTCAAGCTCTATGTCTTCGCTTCAATCGGACCATGACGACAGTTTCTACGGCTCGAATGCTGCTAGTAACGCTATGGTTCCTCTTGATAGGAAGATGCCGGCGCTTA